TTTTTTTATCCCGCATTTTTGTCTATCGACGCCCACCACAATACTCTGAACCACGCGTTACATCGCGTTTAAAAATAGAAAAATATACCCCAAAAACGAGACATCAATTAATATGATACCACAGATTTTATCAATTATAAGTAATACAATCAGCTTATAACAATGGGATAAACAAAAGAGGTAAGAACACTTATCGCGATTGGTTTGTTTTCACGCCAACTTCTGTAATCTAACGAAGCGGTATCGACGCCATCTTGGTTTGTCAAAATTGAGATAGGTGGCGCTCGCTATCTGCTCCTGAATCAGGGGGAGGTAAGTCTAGATTGACGTGTCATAAAATTGGTAAGGCAAAGAGGGAGTTGCTAATCCCCTTCACTATACGTCCCTGGCCAAACCCACCATTTATACAAAATTGGTTCCCCACTACCCAAGGATGCTCCACACCAAATCCTTTCATTCCAACAGAAGAAGGATTTTGAAGATTAATTTGCTATATTTTCCCTATTGGGCCCTGCCCGTCAGGCACATAGGGGGCCAGACCCACGGTTTATACAAAATTGGTTCCCCTTCACCGAAGGAGGCTTCTGACAAAATATGGAACAAATCCTTTCATTCCTACAGAAAAAGGATTTTAAAGAATTTGCTGTTTCCCCTACTGGGCCCCAAGCTCAGGCCCATACCCCCAGTTTATACAAAATTGGTTCCCCTTTACCCAAGGATGCTTCCGACTAAATATGGAACAAATCCTTCCATTCTTAACAGAAGAGGGATTTAAAAAAATCTGTTTCCCCTATTGGGCCCCGCCCCTCAGTTTATACAAAATTGGTTCCCCTTTACCCAAGGATGCTTCAGACCAAATCTGGTACAAATCCTTTCGTTCCTGCAGAAGAAAGATTTTAAAGAATTTGCTATATTTCCCCTATTGGGCCCCGCCTCTCAACATTTATACAAAATGTGTTCCCCTTCCCCGAAGGATGCTTCTGACCAAATTTGGTCAAAATCTGCTTTTGTGTCGTTAATGACTAGTAACGATTTTTAGGAAAAGTTGATGGATGCCGGATGCCACGCCATGGCAGCTCACTTGCCCTTTGGGCAGGTGAGCTAAAATGTTTGTACAAGGTTGATCATATTAGATTCAGACTTAATATCAAATTCATAATTCACTAGTGTGACTGTCTCCGAGGTAAACAAGATTGACCACCTGTTAATTAGTAAGCATAAACTCAGAAAACAACTTTTCGTTTGTTAGGGAGCGAACTAAAGTCTGGTTGAACACAACTGTGGCTCTTGCGTACAAGTACGCATCATACAAGCTTTCATTCAAATAAGTCTGGAACAAAGTCATAATAACCTACTCCCCCCTTTAAAACCATATCTTTCATCGTGTTATTTTATAAAGAAATTAACAAATTGTGTCACATCCTAAGCAAATGTTTCAGGCATGCACAGCACAAAGTTATTTTAAGTGTTTGAATGAACACTGAAATCGGTGCTAGGAGAAACATTAGCATATGTTAAATATCTTGACTGATAAAATCTGAAGCACTTGCTTCTAGTAGATCAAATGACATAAAACACAACAGACTCTGTATGTATACCCCTCTCAAATTTATTACATAACTTAATGATGTAGTGAATTACATGCGCGGTCCACCAGCACCTGGAGGTCTGAATCCTCCCTGGGCTGTGATTGGCTGTGTTACCTGCAGGCCCGGGATGTTTCCAAAGTCCTGAAATAGTCAATAATAAACTGCTATAGAGGAGGCACCAAAACTACAGTGTTAACATATACATATCAAACCAATCAAATTTACAACATACATAAGTGTTGTTTTTTTTACTTGATTTATCGTTATCATCCTCTGAAAAAGAAAGGGTTGGAAGGTAGGCAATTTTTTTTATTTTGGAAAATATTATACTATGCTTATATATAGACAGGCGTTCTGACTTGAACACTAACTATTGATATAAACTTTAGGGTAGGCACAAAAATCTAGGATAGGTAGGGTATTAAAGAGGAAACAACATTTTTTTTTATTTGGCCTAAAAACATTTCTCTGCCAATGGAGTAACAATGACTTCAAAGTGTTTCTTTTTTTTCCATGATTAAAATGACTTACCAATGACTTCAACATGTCCTTTGTATCGGGATCCACTTCAATAACATCGTGTTGTTCCAAGAGAGAAACCTGAAGAGATAGAAACCATTTTCTTTAGTAGCTGTTTACAGAAACACCATGCATACATTGTACAGTACTAATATTTTGCGACCAAAAAATTTCCATATTATTTTATTTTGCAAGAGCACAAATTTGTGTTATCAGTCAATATGTAGGCGCAAGTTACCAGAAAATTAGTAAAAATCATCACACAGTACTGTTATATAAAATCACTAGTTGAGGTTTCATGCAAATTTACATAGAACTAAATATCAAGCAAACTATTCTGTGAGGGTTACCCACAGTTGTAAATTCTCCTTAAAAAATAAATAAAGGTATCCTGGGTCTATTCCAAGGGAAGCAACTCACAAAAGTAGCTTGATTTGTAATGGACTGTCAAGAACAAGATCACAATTGCTTGCTTAAACAACACATTTGAAATTATCTCCAATTTGTCAAACTTTAATCAAATTAAAATATCAGTTTAAATTTGTTTTCAATTTTAAGATGCTTAGTCTAGTGATGGTCATGGAATTCTTGTCTTTTGTCAAATTGCTAAACATATGTTTAAATATTTTCATTCCCAAATGCATAACTTGAAAATCTCAAATCAAGACAAGAATTTCCTCGCCCATTTGACAGAACAAATGATGACTGACATTGGTAGAACGAGGAATACGTCACATATATGTATTCTTTAACAAATTTTGGCTGTTACGAGTACCAGGATAGTAGGTACACATCAGGTTTGGTCTTTACCCCAGTATGAAAATGCGAGTTAACAAAAATCTAACTCTGTACACTAGTACTTGGAAAACAAATCTACTAAAATCTTCAAATTCGGTTCCAAATTGATCTGACAAAACCAATTTAAATCACCAGTGTAATTAGCTAAATTACCATTTTAAGTAACAAGTATACTAAAGTAACTACAACTACATGCCTTTACTTTCATCAAATCCAGTTCATAATCTATAACTCTTTTGGTACGGATTCTGTGCTATTAGGTATCATTCTGACCAAAAGGCTAAAAAGCTTTGTAAGAACCTTAAGAGTGTTCCCCAATATAAGCTTTGATTCTTTAGTTTAAAAGGATCTATCCGACTTGTCTTAACCCTTTGCCACATGTAAGCGCCTCTGGACGCCTTTACCCCTTGCCACATGCAAGCGCCTCTGGACGCCTTTACCCCTTGCCACATGTAAGCGCTTCCCAACGCCTCTACATATCTCAATGTAAGCGCTTCTCGACGCCGCTACATTATCTCAATGTAAGCGCCTCTCGCGCCATGCCGTTTCGGTAAACTTAGACACGGAAAATTCCGTGATTGAAAGCGACACCTACTTTGAAATCACCTATACTATTTTTAGAAGATATCAATGCATCGACCAATCAGATTTGTACACGTCATTCCTACGAATAGTTTTGAATAAATTAACCTAGAAACTGCGAGTCATGAGTGTAGAAAAGTGTCACAACAACGAGCCGTGATGGCGACTGTCACAACTATGTTACGGGACATTTTTGAGGAGGAGGATGATGATGATTAATAGTTTAATGGCTTCAGCCCTGATGACATTGAGTCGGACATCGATCTTAACGATGTTTTCGAATGAACTGTCATCAGAAATAAGTCTGAAAATGATTATGTAAAAGATGAACAGCGACCGGGTGTACCGCCGGCATTAGGTAACGCGACTCTGAATGGTCTCAAGATTTTTCACTGATGAAACATTTTAAAATGTGTCTATCCTGATATACATACAGCTGATTTCATGGTTATGTGTTGATATTTTAACTTACTGAAAATGCTTAAAACAACTATTTCACCTTCAAAATTAAGGTTAGAAAAACAAATCAAAACAAAACTTAATTTCTCAAAAACTGCCATTGAGATGGCGTATACACATTTCAGTCAGTGCAGCAATGTTGCATTGCAACAATGTATCTTGGCACTACCAGTACAGAGTGTTCAAATGTATTGGCTTGCATGTGGCAAAGGGCTATGTCTTCAAATTTCAGGAAAATATGATATGACTTCTGGGATTGGTATTAACAAGATTTACTTTGTCATTAAGGAGGCTCCTGACCATTTTATAATTCTGTTAACCCTTTTCTATAAGGGTGACTATTTTGTGTAGTTTTCATTATTGCAATACTATTACTATCAGGGAAAACTCTAATGCGATAGTTCAATTATTGTGGTATACTATCACGATAGTATTGCAAAAGTATTGTTCGTTGGTATAAGGTCATTTTTGTCTTATATATGGAAGTTTATCAAACGTTCCCACAATACTTGAGCATCAAGTGTACTGCAACAGTTAACTCATTCACCCCTGAAGTTTCATAATGAACTATTCCAACCTTTCAATTGGAAGAGTTCAAATGTGTCTTCATGGGTTAATGAGTTAAGCAATTGAAAGCACATACCTAATATCTGATAGTGACTACCGCACTTGACTCCTTATGTAAGTGCAGCTGACATGAGTGCGTCTTAATGATAACTAAATTATCAGTACTCGTAATGGCAATTGAAAATCGTAAGGGTTAGTTTTGAAACTATCGATTGTTTAGCACTATCGGCGATTGTTATCGAGTTTATGAAGTTGTCATCGATTAATCAGACTGAGAGGTGTACAATCGCAATATATCGATAGTACGATGTATCGTTACACCACTACTTTCCTACGAGTTCATCAATGTCTTCTAGACGCGAAAGCCTACTACAATTATGTCTTAGGGGAATACCCTTATCTCAACCCCAGGACAATTCCTCACACCAAGGAAAAGGTCCAGGTGTTCAGGTTAACAGTGAATAATACAATAGAAATTCATAACTTCTTCATATTCTCTAAGTTTTTTTTAAAACAGCTTGCTGCTCTTCTTGATAACAGCAGTTCAAAATCTAGGATAAATGTAGCCATTATAAGGTACCTCTGGGACATAGTTATCCCTCCTCTCCCTTTCCTCCTCCTGCAGTTTGATGGAGATGCCTCGGACTGGACCGGCCTGGATACGCTTCATCAAATGGGTGACAAACCTACAATGCCAAAGAACAAATAAAGCTGTTATTTAGCTTTTTTAGTTATATTTCTGCACTTTCATCCAAAAATGGCTCGATATATATTAAACTGAAAACACCAACACTTAATAACAACTGAAGCTGATCATGATAAACTAAGGTTTTAACAACTAATTACTACTACAAACTTACCCTGCTACTTTGTTCCTGAGCTTCTTGCTTGGCAAAATAGCTATTTCCTCACATACTCTTTTGTTTGTGTGGAAGTCGAGGGTCAACTTCGTGTAGTATTTCTCAATAATAACTCGGGCAGCCTTCTTGACTGTCTTAGTTCTGACACGAGCCTGCACAAAAAAACAAAAAACATCAATAAACTGACCATTATATTCACATCATGCCTTCTCAGAATGCTTATGAAGTAATTTAAGTTTTAAAAGGTCATAATATGAGGCCATTTTTTTTCTTTCTTTTACTTGGATTCTCTAGATCTAATGTCATTGGTAAAATATTGCAGAAAATTGTGAAAGGCTCCTGTTAATGCCTTGGCAAACATTTAATGCAGCAAATCAAAATGTCCTGAAAATTCTCAGTACATTGTCTTGGAAAGCACATGTACAATGGAATCAAAGAAAGCAGACCTTCCTTTAATCAATTTTCAGACTTAAAAAATATAAAGAATATAGGATTTTAACCAGTCTGCGACTTATCTAGTAAAATTGTCCGTTTTTTATTTATTTCATTGTGAAATTTATATTATTTAACTGTCGGATAATGTTATGTTCAATGCCATCTAGTGGGATTTCCCTGTCAATATACTTTGCAGGTATATATCTTGTGTAGCAAATGGTTTGACCCACTGGGCTTGACCCTAAGCATACAGGTATGTAATGTAGGGGTCAGCAGGAGGGGCATACCAGAGTATACCAAGTGTTTCGTGGGAAATAGTTGCTAGCTGTCAAGTTTGGACCTCAAGACTGCAAGTCGGAAAAGACTCTATATGGAGACTTCTTTTGGGGCAAGTCGTTGGGCCCGAGGAAGTAGATAGGGCTATAGGATGAAGATCTAGGCTAGTAATTCTACATTGGTTAGTTTGTGCCAGGGTATCCTTTTGTTCTAGTGTATAACATCCTAGTATTGTGTCTTATTTACCTGGGTATTGGGTCGTATATGTGTACAAGTGTACGTGCAGCCGCTAGCGTGACTAGAGGAACTGTTTGGGTACTGTCTCGAGTATATAATCTTAGTAGAATATTACTCCAACAATGTTAGAGGTTTACACGGCTAGATAATTTGGCAGTTGTCATTGCAGTCGGCAAAATCATATCCGATAAAAAAAGTCTGGGTCGGCATCTTATATATTATAGGAGTAAGTTGTTTATATAATATCACAAGTGTCCACAGGGGTCGGTTTCAGGATTTTAAGTAAATTAATATGACATGACATAAATTGTTATAAATTTGGTTAATAATACACATCAGCAAATAGCAAGCCAAATCTCTTTATCCGGTGTTCATTGAGGGTACTGAGGTTTTATGTACACATGCACTGTGTAGTGGTGACAATCGAGTGTGTTTACACTAATTACTGGGATAGATGGCGTGCAAATCACTCAAAATTAAATAAACCCGTTTATAATTTCTGTATCAGTATTGGAAATAGACATTTTCAGCTATTCTGCGTTATAAAGTATGTAGACCTTACTTCTCGACATGTGATATTTGTAGCTTGCAATATATTATGCCGTTGTGATTAGCCTACGTTCCACAAACTATACCTAAAATAAGACGTTTCTAAATCCTATATAAAGCAAGAGCATTTCGGCTTATTTGACAATACTTGATGATTGAAATGTAATTAAGTATCGACTTTCAGAATGAATGTGTTATATCAATATAGAAACAAAACGGAGCGAACGTCAACATAAACCATGTGAACACCCTTCAGTATTTAGTATACTCTATATTATTTTCTATCAGAATAGTTCAAATACTAAGACAAAAATGACATCGCAATGTCAATATACCACGTAGGATAAGCAAAGTAGACACAGCACATCTGATTTATTTGATTTGATCAGATATATATTCGTTTATTACAGGGAATGTCGCTCACCATTTTGGAGGTACCGGAAAAGGAAGTTGAAAAGAGCGTTCGGCAGTTTAGGTTTCCTGTCACGGAACACCTCTGCCTTTATCCATCAAACGAGTCAGTATTGAAAATGAAAGTGCAGACATGCACAACTATGTATCTGAATACAAGAAATCGGGTCTCAGACTTCAGGTAAGACAGCTTGAAGCACTTCCAAGGCAAAACACGCACTTCAGACAACTTTAGAGGGGATAGTTTGTTGTAAGAATTAATTCAGGAGAGGGAAATATTGAGAAATGAGCGGACAGTTCATTAACACTAACAGAGACAGATAAAGGAATATGGAGTAGTAGGCCTAGTGCAGTAGACACATTTGTAGATTTAGTTTAATTGCGAATATCGGAGAAAGCTGTAAAAAAGACACTACAAAAGTAAAAATAAATCTATTTAGATTAAGGTACTTACTTACTTACTGCCCGGTATGCGATTGGCATGTAGAGCGGCAACAAAGGTCCTCCATTTCTGTCTGTCTTTGGCCATCTTTTCTATTGTTCCCAAGGTGTTATTCATGGTCTTTAGCTCTCCTTCTACAGTACGTCTCAATGTATTTTTTGGTCTTCCACGCTTGCGCTTCCCTTCTGGAGTCCAATGCAATGCTGTTCTGGTGATGGAATTTCTATCTCTTCTAATCACATGCCGAATCCATTTCCAATGCCTTCTAATTAATGTTGTAGCCATACTTTCCTGATTACACTGCCTTAGTAGGTCTACATTAGTTATTTTGTTTGGCCAGAAAATGTGTAGGATTCTTCTTAAGCTTTTGGTATGAAAGACTGACAGTTTGTTTAGGTCGTTTTCTGTCATCCTCCAGCATTCTGATCCATATAACAGAGTAGATAGTACGCAACTCTAGTACAGTTTTAGTTTGGTTTGCTTTACTGTACTGTGATGATTTCCATACATTATTAAGAGATNATCTGAATTTTTAAAGATCACTAAAAAACTGTCAAAATTGTACCAATTGTGGTAGCGTGACATTAAATATATTCCTGGTTTTGTTTAATCTGTCCATGATGTCATTTCCTGCACCTCCATCATTTCTTACTGTACTTCCCAGGTATGTGAATGTTTCTGTGATGGGAAGATCTTTTCCATCAACTTGTATAGGAGTTGGGTTGGTGATGTTAAGGGTTATGACTTCTGTTTTTTTCTGGCTGATTTTAAGTCCAACTTGGTTGGCAAAGTTATTAAGGTGGTTCGTCTCCTCCTGTAAATGGTGATGGGTATGTGATAACAGAACAAGATCGTCCGCAATATCAAGATCTTCTAATATTCCTCTTGGAACATTTGCTGTTGTTTTCCTCATTACCCAGTCGATGACTAAATTGAAAAGAAGAGCAGACATCACACAACCTTGTCTAACTCCTTGTTTTTACCTCAAACCAGATGTTACTGTGCCCTACACTGCAGATGAAATTCTTGTAAAAACTTTTGATAAGCTCGACTATTTCTTTTGGAATTCCATATGCCTTGAGTATCCACCACAAGCTCTTTCTGTTGATGCTGTTGAAGGCTTTCTGGAAATGCACAAAGTTGATGTAAAGCTGCCTTTGCCATTCTGTACATTGTTCGATGATGTTACGTGAGGCAAATATTTGATCAATGCATCCTCTACCTTTAGGAAATCCTGCTTGCTCCTCTCTTAGCTGTTTATCGATTGCATCATTTATATTTTGGATAATAATTTTGGCCATGATTTTACTAGGAATTGCCTGTCTGGGAAGTTGATATTTATTTCTAAATCTCTGACTGCTTCAATTATTATTGCTTCGTCATCTGGGGGTGGTCTGTTGAATACTTCTTTGAAGTGCTCTGCCCATCTGGATTTTTGCTCTTCTTCTGTTGTTAATTAATAGCCTCCCATTTTTGTCTTTTATACATCGTTTGTGATATGAAAGGACTATGTATGGTTTGGGCCTGTTTTGGCCCCCAAATGCATCAAAATTCAAAACCTTTAAATGAACTTTGAAGCGACTGTTTCTTGAATTTTGAATACTTTCCAAATACTTTTATGAAAATATTTATTTATATTTCTAATTATTGTTGCCATGGTAATAAGTTCAAATTTTCATAAATTAGAAAAATTTGAATATTCAGTGAATATTGTGATATTTTGTATAGTTTTTCTCCTAGAAACTATGGAGCGCATGCTTGAACAAACTTAATATCAAAGGATAATGTGTAGGCACCTGTAATGCATCTTTAGGAGAAATATAAAGTTTGTTCAAGAGTGCGCTCTGTGGTAGCTAAGAGAAAAACTAGGTAAAAACCCTGCCAAAAGTGACTGAATAATCAAATTTCAATAATTTATGCAAATATGACCTGGTTACCATGGCAGCCAAAATTGAAAACACAAATAAATGTTTACATAATAGTACTGGGGAAGTATTCAAAATTAAAGAAACAGTTGTTTGAAAGTTCAATTGCAGATTTTTAATTTTGATGGATTTGGGGGCGTAAAAGGCCCAAACCATACATAGTCCGATCCTTTGCCACAGATTTGTCTTGTTATTTTATAAATTTTTCCCTGTTCGCCTTTTTCTGCTGCTTCTTCTGCCTGTCTAGCAAGGTCTTCCATGTAAGCTCTTTTATCTGCTCTAGCCATTCGCTTAACTTCTTTGTCCAGTACTCTATAGCTTGTTTTGTGCCTTCTACAAAACAGAACACAATATATCTCCAGCACACACAAAGACATACACACATATGGAGATATAAGCCGGTTGGCATAGGACTAGTAGTTAGTGCCTGATAAGGCAGCTCCTGCAAATTCCTCAATATTGTATTGATTAATATATATGCTAATTGTATTGACTGTAAAACATTGTATATCTATGCACTGTAAAGCGCTTTAGAGTGGCTTATGTTAGCTAGATAGGGCGCTATATCAAATGTTGTATATTTGTTTTTTTATTGTAGCCTTTCAGATTTTGTGTCTAGTATCTTCTTGTTCATATGGCGTCTTTCTTCTATAACCTTCCAAGTACCTGGTGTTATCCACTTCTTCATCTTTTTACCAAGTTTAAAACCTAGACAGTCCTCGCTGGGTTTTTCGTATATTGTACTTACTTGATCCCATTTTGAGTTGACTTCTGTTGTTTCAGCTGCGATCATGTCAGGATTATCTGTCAGAGCTTGGAACTTATTCTTCAATTGAAGGATGAATGCATTCTTTACTTCATGATCTTGTAATTTTTCGATGTCACAGTGTTTGGGGACAAGTGTTTTACGTCCTGTACTCCTCAATTTTATCTTAAAGGGACATCACGTGAAAAGGCATTTTTTTTTTAATGAATGTATGTATTGTATGCACTTCCACTTATGTTACCTCGCTATCCCCATATTCATAGTCCGTTCCAAATGTCCAGTTTGACCACTTGAATTGTTCGGGAAAGCCCTGCTAAAAATAGCGCCAATAACGTCACCTGACTAGGCAGTAAACACAAGTGGTGCGAGCGAGATGAAACGGTTTCCAAAGAGGCCCCCAGAGAGGGGCCGTCAGGAAATGCAACTTCTTGCCGCACTATGAAACCAAGTTATATGATTTCTAAGTCCGTATTCAAACTTATTGAACAGTAATTATTCATCATTAGAAGTTAATTGCGCACTTGCCAATATTCAGAATTTAAATTTATTTAGCTTTAAACATAAATTTGTTGCCAATAAAATTAAACAAGGGATGGGGCACAAGTTTTTACAATTTATCACAGCCTTCTCCCGTCATACATTTACAATTAAATGTCAACAATGATAATAGGCATAAACATAAAGTAGATATATTTAAATATATATTGAATTTAGTACCGGAATGTGGCCGGTACAGATGGTACGGGGCTAAACACCTTCCCTACACCAAGGGACAAACCTTTCTGATTTTTTTTTATATATTGCCGGGGCAGAGGAGGCCGGGTATTCATATTAGTACTAATTTAAATCTTGCATGTAAAAACAAAAATAATCGTTTAATTCAGCAATATAATTAAATCATACCATTTTATTGAACCCGGTAATATTATAAATTATGTAAATCCACGGACTTCGATAACACGTATCTCGGTGACCCAGAAAATACGCCGTGGGCCATCACAACAGTTATCCCTTGGAGGGCCTCATGGAAAAATCAAACTAACCAGTCACTTATCCCTTCCTTTCGCATAAACCACTGTATAATTATAGAAACACAAAGTAAACTCTCTCCAATACATGCCCATTAACATATTAAACTAAGTTCATCTGTGTTCAAACTCAGACAAAGATACTAGCGAGCTTAATAGTTTTAGATATTTATTCATAACATAAACAGCGCTAGCATTTCTGTCGATTCCATTTCAGCTTAACCGGCTATCCGGAAGAATACATGCACCGTACTAACTGCTACGGCAGTTATTTTCTCCTTTGAATACTGCCCACCTGCAATAATGATTCCGTAACGTACTCCTTGCGCTATCTTTTGACCATTTGGCAACTTTTCGTTTCGTAGCTGACACGGTACAACACTTTTCTTTCGCTTACTTCACACGGCCAGTCATTTTGTTTACAAAGAAATGGTGTGCTATGCGCATGCGCTAGTAGAGGGAAATCCCTGAACAAAACGTTGGTCAGACAGGTAGAAATACCGATGATTTTCTTAGATTTAATCATTTTTATGAATCTATTTCAGCCAAATCCGATCGTTATTTTCCATAAGGAGTCTCACTTGATATGTTTATGTAGTATTTGAAAAAAAGACAAAAAATAAAGTTACTTCACCGTTATGCCCCTTTAATATTTGCAGTAACAAGGTGGTGGTCACTTCCAACATCTGCTCATCTCTTGACTTTAACTTCTAGTTATGATCGCCTCCATCGCCTCCAAGTACCATTTATCATAATGTGGTCAATCTGATTCTTGTCCCTTCCATTCGGAGAACACCATGTTAATTTATGTATATCTGGATGTGGAAAGAGTGTTCCTCCTACTACCATGTTGTAAGCTGCACACAATTCTGCCAGTCTTTCTCCATTTTCATTTATAGTACCATATCCATGTTTTCCTATTACTCTGTCCATATCTGTATTGATGTTTCCCACTTTTGCATTCAAATCACCCATCACCACCAGAAGATCATGACGTGGTACCAATCTCACTTCTGCTCG